CCATTCTAATAGGACTCCTAATTCTTACTGTAGTGGTTCCAAATGGTAAGAAACTGATTGTAATTTATGATTAATTGAGCTTAAAAAATGGAGAATTGGGTTTTTTTCTCTATTGTTCTTTTTACTAAGCTAAACTCTGTAAACCAGAACCTTAAATTCTGGGGTTTGTAATAGAAATGGGGGCTCGTCCAGGATCAAAATAACCTTTAATAGAGTTACTACTTTGTTGTGGTGAACAGGTTTTGTTTGCCTGACGCTTCAGGTCTCACCTCAAATTATGTTTCTAGTTAAGTCAACTTACAGACTAGTAAAAACTGTGAAAACTTATGTTAAGTTTAATTAACAAATTCAGGAACGTCTTGGGTTATGGTTTTAACCCGTTATGTCCCCAATCTGTTGTTTCCACATAAATGACTGAAAGGGAACTTCACAAGTTGTTTCAACTTACAAAATAATGTTACAAAAATAAAGTATGAAATGATTTCATATATTTGGAAAACTGAATCACTATGGAAGTCAGCTACTGAAGCAACATTTTTCATAATATCCTCTTTTGCGTTCAATAGAAAAGAGAAACTCTGGTTTTGAACAAGGGAAGTGTGAGACAATGAAGACAGAATTTACATTTTTGGGTGAACTACCCCTTAAAACAGTTTAGATCAAGAATGTCCAAAAGTTTAGCTCCAACTTTCTTCAACACACCTACCAGGAAATTTCTAGAAAGCCTAGTACAGGGGTGTCCAAACTCAGTCCTGGAGGGCCGGTGTCTGGTATATTTTAGTTACAACACCAATTAAACACACCTAAACCAGATAATCAAGCTCTTTCTAAGTATACTAGTAAGCTCCATGCAGGTGTGTTGAAGGAAGTTGGGAGCTAAACTATGCTGGACACCGGCCCTCCAGGACCGAGTTTGGACACCCCTGTTCTAGTATATCTAGTAAGAGCTTGATTAGCTAGTTCAGGTGTGTTTGATTAGGGTTGGAGCTAAACTCTCCAGGATACTGGCCCTCCAGGACCGAGTTTGGACACCCCTGATTTAGATTCCAACAACAAATGCTTGTTATTTAGATTTAGTTGAGGTTTGTTAAGTCTGGCTTTTAACGGGCAAAAATGTTCAAGTAATACAACAATTGCGTGTCCTTTTTAACAGGGAATAAATGGACCTTGTCATCGTGGCCTTGTTATTATCATTCTCTATATTGGTTTTGTTAAAACCACACAAAAGGAAGAAATAACCTATAGTAGAACAACAAATCTGGGTCATGTAGTGCTGTTTATTTTTATTTTTTGGCTAACAAACCTCACTGAGGCAGTGTCCTTTTTAAAATCATTTAATGACTCAATCATGTTTGCAAACACATGATGCATCGCAATATTGACAGTCGTGAACTCCGAATGTCAAGTCTGACTTTACACACAAATTTAATTTAGAAGTTAAAACACACAATCACTGAGACATTCATACTTCTGTGGCCACCCAACCGTAATGACTCAATATGAAAATGTACACCAACACTTGTTGACAATTTGCTGCACTAATGCTAGGTCGGGGCTTTTCTTTCGACTCATTAAACACAACATTACTCTTCACAGCATTAGAATAAGGTCCTAAACGAGACCTCTGCACAAACATCACAATGTACAAAAATAGAAGAATCAGTAGAAAAATAAGAGATATGATTTTATATATATATATATATATATATATATATATATATATATATATATATATATATATATATATATATATATATATATATGTATATATCTCTATATATATATATATATATATATATATATATATATATATATATATATCTATATGTATATATATATATATATATATATATATATATCTGTATATATATATATATATATATATATATATATATATATATATATATATATATATATATATATATATATATATATATCTATATATATATATATATATATATATATATATATATATATATATATATATATATATATATATATATATATATATATATATATATATATATATATATATATATATATATATATATATATATATATATATATATATATATATATATATATACATATATATATATATATATATGAGTGAGCATATGGAAAGAAAACGTCCATTTTTGTATGATCAGTTGGGGTGTATTTAGCCATTTAGTAAATCTCTGGCCTTGTCCCAGCTTGCAGTCAGACTTGGGACAGCCATTGTGTGCATGTGATCATTGGGTGTCCCGTTTTTGTAATTTGAACCCAGCAGACTTCTAATAGACATCTAAATGAGGCTAAACAAGGCAAAACTTGGGCTTTCAGTGAAAATGTAGCAAACGTCTAAGAATAGCCCTAAACTAGACTAGTCGTCAAATAGACAGATTAGACAGACTTTGTATGTGTAGTCATTCTTTTCTGTTTATTTTGATGACTAGTCTAGCTTTGGCCTTTTCTTAGACATCTTTTTAGCCTTGTTTTAGCCAAGATGACTATGTTTAGATGTCTATTAGACATCTATTAAAACAATAAAAGCTTACTAGGAAGAGTGCACATAATTTTTATTGAACAGATTGCCCAACACAATCTCACGGCAATTCGTAACTTTTTGATTTAGTGGCTACTTCGTATAAATTCATACATCATCTCATTCGTACAATTTAATACGATTTGCTTATCCTCCAATGACAATTTTGTTTAGGGGTGGGGTTTGATGCCACACCTCTTTTTTAAAATCGTAGATTTTCGGACGACTAAACTCGTACAAATTAATACGAATTAGCCAGTAAACTAACAAAACTTAAAACAGTTACGCTACCTCGTGAGATCAGGCTGGATTTTCCCCAAATGGAATACTAACAGGCAGTCTATGCCACACTACACAATGTGTAGATGCAAAGAAAGAACTGGCTTTCGGAAAGCACTTGGAACAAGGCTTAAAGAGATAGTTCACGCTAAAAAAACGACACAAAATATTCTTCTTCTAAAGATATTTCGAAGTAAGCTTGAAACTGTTAACCGTGGACTTTGATACAAAGCAAAACCTCCAGTATTAAATGCAGTGTTTATATAGTCTTACTTTGAGTGTTAAAACAAGATTACACCAACACTGCCATCACATATTATGTAACACTGACAGTGTTTATTTAACACTGGAGGATTTGCTGTGTAGTGTTTGTTTTTCCCACTAAGGATGTCAGTGGTTATCAATGTTTAGCTTTCTCCAAAAAATCTCAGAAGAAAAAAACTCATAAACGTTTATAGCCATTTGAGGGTGAATATTTGTGAGTAAATAAACATTTTGAGTGAACTATCCCTTTAGGAAATGCCAGAGCTCTAAATCCAGACTTGCAATGTTATTTAAGTATGGACTGTATGTAGATGCTCTTACGTCAAGTACGTAAGTGTTGGTTCACAATCTTGAGGAATCTCACAAATATCTTTGGTATATGTTCTTCTTCGTCTCTTTCTCTTGTATATGCTTTTCCGCTTTGCAATGCTGCATCTCTTCTGGTCTTAATCCCCCAGGTTATGCAGGTCAGATGTGTCAAAGGTATAATCTCTGGATTTGGTGGCTGTGTGATAATTAGGCCCGAAGAAAGACGCCAGGTAACCTGGATATAACAACAACAATTTGCTCTTAAACAACTTTCGTTAATTCTCTTCCTGTTCAGCCTTGACCTGTTTTACCTCTGTGCCTTAGATGTAATGGCATTGCCCCGGACGATTTAATCTGAGCTAAGCCAACGCTGAGCCAACAGTACATTAAGGTCAGTTCAAATGAGACAAGAAGCTGTGAAAAATCTCCCATCTCGTACTCTAATATACGAATGCCTTGTCCGTGTCGCTTTCTAGTAGACACCACAATTCTCACTGTAGTGGTACCAAATTGACAAGTTAACAGATGGTAGTTCATGATTGGATGATCTTCAAAATTCATTTGCTATTGTGCACTACCTTCTGTCATATGTTACCAGCCTGTTCTCATGAGGAAATGTAACTATGTTTCAGATTAAAAAGTGGATAGTTTATACGATTTCATCCATACGAAAACATGATTTTTAAAAGTAGGCATGCCCCCAAACCCCACCCCCAACCCTACCCCTCGTTGGGTCATGACCAAATCGTACTAAAATGTACGAATGAGATCACACACATTACTTAGCCACTAAATCTAAAAGTTAGGAACTGCATTGAGATTGCATTGAATGTTACTGCTAAAGGACGTCTTAACCGACATACTTAGGGGTCGTTAACAGAGTGACTTTGATTTTCAGTTTAAGGCACTAAAGGCAAAGGTGTCCAATCTTCCTCCTGGAGGGACACTGAGCTGCTGATTTTTTGCTCCGACCAGCTCAAATGCAAGTCTTTTAGCCAGTCATGAGCTAGACCCATACTTGTTGAGAATCTTTATATGCATCCTACTGTGTACTGCTGCCTTGAGAGTGAAAGTGCTGTGCGTGCCTTGTCCAATGTTGGTTATGCTGTTGAGTTTTGGTTGTTTGTTGACTAGATACATTCGATATACTTGTTACTAGTTTGTTATTAGTTTATTCTTTCTATTGCCATTATATTTTGTTAACACACTTGATTTTTTGCTTCTCAATAAATTGAAAATTTTTGACTCGTGTGGCCCTGCCTAAATGAGCACTTTAAAACTGAGTCTTGTTACTTAAATGGGGCTGTGAAAAACTCTTGTATCCCAATAGATGAATCTTGCCTGTGGCACGTTCTAATAGGACACCTAATTCTCACTACATCCATACCAAATTGTCACCTTATAAGAAACAGATGGTAGTTCATGATTAGATGTCCTTAAAAAATAAAAATAAAAAATTGTATTTTTGACTCCAAAGTCTAAACAAGCAGTTTAAATCTGGCATTCGTAAAATAAACGGGGGCTCGTCCGGGATCAAAATGACTTTTAATAATTGTTGTTGTTTCCTGAGAGTTACTAATTTTTTTTGTTGAGCAGATTTCGTTCTAGTTACTATTTATTGTTTTTTTTTTATCATTTTAGTTCATCGGGAAAGAGGATAATCTTTTAATCAGTAAGCTCTGGTGAAATTTTTAATTAGTGCTTAATTCGCCTAACTCTGCAGAAAAGAAGCCCTCCAGGAACAAGTATGGACACCCCTGTTTTTGGGTATCTCTTACTTCCCTTGCGAAACTGCAACTTCAACACAATTCGCAGGATCTCTTTGATTCTTAAAATACGTCTATCACACATAGATGCAAAAGATAGTCCCTTTTGTGTCCATGCTACTCTCGGTAGAGTCTCCATGCGGTTTCCTCTAAGCCAGTGTTGTGCTTTTTTGTAGTCCTGGCACTTAGCCATGGAAAGCCTAGGTAGAACGTGCTGCCCGATAGGAACTGATCCAAGTTACCTCACTCTCCCTCCCTTTCTCTCTTCCTGCGCGCTCGAAGCGTCTCCTTGCAACGAGCTGCCAATTGGAAAAGTCTCACGCTGTGGAGCACACAAATACAGACTCATTGGGCGAGTGCTCTAATTGGACATGTTGTGGTAAGTTAACAGTCGGTCAGTTGCAGGGCAACCACGGGGAGAATGTGTGTGTGGGTTGGCAGGCGTACATCGGCTGCACCTGAGCAATGTAATAATTGCTAAAGTTGCCATCAGCAATGTACGGCGCAGGCTGATAATAGCAGGTGACGTTCGCCACATTGGGAATCACGTTCTGCTCTGCTAGAACCCGTACCGCCAGCATGGTGATGAGGCTCAGAGTTTGTCGCCGCTCATGTCCCATGAGACATACAGTACTTTCATTGACCACACTATGCAGCGTGGTCAGATACTCGTACTTCCGGTTCTCCAATCCCACAAAGTGATTCTGCAGATAGGACTCCAGTTTTCGCCTCTGCTCCGCCACGTCTGAGAAATCGATGAAGAATCGAGAGCACATGTAGCGTTCGAGAAGCTTCATTTCAGCTTCGGAAGCGGCACGGAAACCTCGAACCAGTAGGTGGCAGTATTTCAGCAAGCCACCGCCGCGGATCTCCTCCGGATTTCGCGTGCAGATCAGTTTTCGTTGTAGGTGGTCCAAGGCTACGCTGAAGTCTCCGTAAACGCTCTCTCCCACAATGGAAGGGTGGAACGTCTCGGCCATGGGGTTTTCAGAGCACTCGTAGAAGAGGAGGAGGGAATCCAGGCGGATCTGGAAGGAGTCGACGCTGAACTCAAACTGACGCCGGAGGGAATCCACAAACTTCAGTTCAACGTTCTTCCCGCTATTGTTGGAAAGTGAGATTAGACTCCATCGGTCTGAATCGTTACACACTTTCACCATCTTCTGCACATAAGCCTCCTGAGGAAAGAGGGTTTTAAGAAAGACAATGTTAATAATGATGTAAAAGCCAATATAAAGATTTAGTCAATAGAAATATGTCGTTGAATATACAGATGTCAACATTTGAAGTGGATCAAAACAACCTTTCATCAAAGTTGTCCTGTAAGTTATTGAACAACACCCATTCTTGTCTCAGGATTCATTCATTCATTCATTCAATTTTCTTCAGCTTAGGAGCACCCGAAGGAAACCCACGTGAACATGGGGAGAACACGCAAACTTCACATATTAATGGCAAAGACTAGAATACACAAGACATGTCACTAGTATACTTTTGAATGGGGGAAGGTGTAACTGTCAATATGGTGAATGATGCCCTGTGTACTAGTACAGGAGCCAATCAGCCATTGCTAAATGGCGAATAAAGCCAGCCTTCTGGTACAGGAGCCAATCAGCGATCGATATAAAATGACAATTCTCCGGGGGAGGGGTTCGAACTAGACGTGAGCTTCTGCAGATTTTGTGTGACACAAACATATAGAAATGAAACTAAACAGACAGCTGTTGTTTAATTTTAGTGGAGATTCCTAATATGAAATTTAACCGTAAGGTATTTTGGAGAATTTCATGTTTCCCCATTTAAACAGAATGCCCGAGCATACTGCCTGAGTGGCGTTTCAAAGATGGCCGCCAGGGTGAAATGACTTGCCTTAAAGGGACTTTAGTAATGACAACTGGCCCAGCCGGGAATCAAACTAGCTGTGAGGCAATCATGCTACCCACTGCGCCACCATGTCGTCTTGTCTCAGGATAACTTCGAAAAACTTTGTTGATCAACTTCAGTGTTGACTATTGTGCATGTCGGGGTGTGCAAGTGAACATTAATAACTCTTGAATTTATTTCCATTGGTTTCCTGTATTAATGAAACATGTGCAAGAGTCATTAAATGTACAGTTGATGCTAAACTGAAATTTCTGTCATCATTTACTTGTTCCAAATCAATTTAAGTTTCTTTATTCTGAAGAAGATATTCTGAAGAAAGCTGAAACCTGTAACCACTTCCATAGTATTTGTTTTTTTTTTAGTGAATGGTTACAGGTTTTCAGCATTCTTCAAAATATCTTCTTTTGTGTTCATCAAAAAAAAAAAAAAAAAAAACTCATTTAGGTTTGTAACCACATGGAGAGTGAGACAATAATGAGCAAATTTTCATTTTTGGGTGAAATATCTCTTTAAGTGAACATAAATTATTCTTATGTTTATTCCAACACAATCTCACGGCAATTCGTAACTTTTTGATTTAGTGGCTAATTCATATGAATTTGTATGATCTAATTCGTACAATTTAGTACGATTTGCTCATCCCCCAATGACGGTTGGGTTTAGGGGTGGGGTTAAGTGCCACGCCTCCTTTTTAGAATCATACAATTTCGTACGACTGAACTCGTACGAATTGGTACGAATTAGCCACTAAACTGGCATAACTTAAAATAGTTACGTTTTCTCGTGAGATCAGGCTGGTTTATTCCCCTGAGTTTCCTGTACACTCAAAAAATATATGTTTGCTGTTTGTTTAACTTACTTATTTAAAATGAGCAGAAACACAATTCTACACTTTTTTGGGACAACCTAATTGTTGTATGTTTGATCTACTTAAATTAGTAAAAACTGATAAGTTAACTTAATTTCTTTGTATTTTGTCAACACAAACCTATTAAGTGGAACCCAACATATTTTTTGCATTGTATTATGGAAATGTGCAAGCATCTTGTAAACTGAAAAATCTTTGTCAAACTGTGTGACAATGTTTAAAATAAAAATTGTCGATAAAAAACAAGCATCCTGTTAATAACAAGACTACAAACGTATGATATTTCCGACTGTGAAGCCACTTTGCATATTCACCAAAGACACTCCATTTAATTAGATAGTGCTGTATCAGCTTCATTTGCATACATGAAAATCCACTCTTCCTTTGCATACACTCACTGGAGAGAGGTGAAAGCGGATCCATCGTAAATTGGTTTAGAGAAATCCTCTTTGTAGTAGAAACCAGCGTTTTTACTACCGGCGCCCTTATCTTATTGCAGCTTAAAACTAATACAACGCTCTCCAGGGCATGTCTAGGTCCAGTCAATGTCAAATTACAGCATGCCCTGCACTTCCCCTTTATTTAACCCATGCTGCATATGAAATTATATCACTTACTAAGTAGTCATTTAGCTGAATCTCTCTTATCCGAAGTGCCAGTGCACTTAAATTAAGGGCAGTCCCGATGGAGTAACATAAGGTTAAGTACCATGCTCGAGGGTGTAGCGGCGATGAATCAACCCCTGGAGAGTTCTCAATTACTATCCTGGAGTTTACTTTAAATGCATCTTAAAGGGACACCTACGTTGTAAAAAAATGCTGGGTTTCACACAGTTTCTTCATGTTGTCCCAACACAAAAGTTAACTAAAGTGATTTTACATTTTTACATAAATTTTTACATTTTACATAAATTAATTGAACATAAAACTATTAAGTTGTCTCAACAAAAAAAACTCAGGAATCGTGTTGATTCAGCTAATTTTAGGTAAATATTTTAGTTCATCTAAAAGAATTCTGTCCTTATTTACTCTACTTTAAGGCTTTGTTTGGATGTCTTTCTTTAATTAAACACAAGACAAGATATTCTGAAGAATGTTGTCAACCAGCATTCATTGACATCAATAGGAACAAGAATACAATGGAAGTAATGGCAGTTGCTTTCCAGCATTCTTCAAAATATCTTCTTATGTATACCAAACACAAAAAAGAAACTCAAAAATATTTTGAAACAAGTAAACAGCAAGTAAATGATGACAAAGGTTTCATTTTGGTGTGAACTATCCCTTTAAACCCGAGTCTAAGCAGTTTTCTAGATCTGGTTTACCACAGATCAGCTAAAATGAGCACTGTAAAACCAGCAATAAACTAGTTAAAGCACATTTAACCCATTTGTGCCTATTTTTTTAATGATTTCATGCATGCATTGTTAATAGTGTCCTATATGAACACGTTTTGCATTCAGCTTTTCTTAAAAATCATATTTAAATGTGTTTAAAATGGGCTTACGTCTCCTTTAAAAGTCTCTTTAATAATATATTCTGAAGAATGTTGTCAACCAGCATTCATTGACATCCATAATAGGAACACAAATACATTGTAAGATAATGGCTGCTGCTTTCTAACATTCTTCAAAATATCTTCTTATGTATACCAAACTCAAGAAAGAAACTCAAAAATGTTTTCAACAAGTAAACAGCGAGTAAATGATGACAAAAGTTTCATTTTAATGTGAACTATCCCTTTAAACTCGAGTCTAAGCAGTTTTTTAGATCTGGTTTACCACAGATCAGCTAAAATGAGCACTGTAAAACCAGCAATAAACTAGTTAAAGCACATTTAACCCATTTGTGCCTATTTTTTTTTATGACTTCATGCATGTATTGTTAATAGTGTCCTATATGAACACGTTTTGCATTCAGCTTTTCTTAAAAATCATATTTAAATGTGTTTGAAATGGGCTTAAGTCTCCTTTAAAAGTCTCCTTTGACAATTTGTTTGGAAGTCTTTCTTTAATTTCTTTAATAATATATTCCGAAGAATGTTGTCAACCAGCATTCATTGACATCCATAATAGGAACACAAATACATTGTAAGTTAATGGCTGCTGCTTTCAAACATTCTTCAAAATATCTTCTTATGTATACCAAACACAAGAAAGAAACTCAAAAATGTTTGGAACAAGTAAAGAGAGAGTAAAGGATGACAAAAGTTTCATTTTGGTGTGAGCTATCCCTTTAAACCCAGTCTGAGCAGTTTTCTAGATCTGGTTTAGCTTTGATCAGCTAAAGATGAGCACTGTAAAACAAGCAATAAACTAGTTTAAGCACAATTAACCCATTTGTGCCACTTTTATTAATGATTTCATCCATTTATTATTAATAGTGTCCTATATGAACACGTTTTGCTTTCAATTTTTCTTGAGACTCATATTTAAATGTGTTTGAAATGGGCCTGGGCGAGGCAGTGGCGCAGTAGGTAGTGCTGTCGCCTCACAGCAAGAAGGTTGCTGGGTCGTTGGTTCGTTTAAACCTCGGCTCAGTTGGCGTTTCTGTGTGGAGTTTGCATGTTCTCCCTGCCTTCGTGCGGGTTTCCTCCAGGTGCTCCGGTTTCTCCCACAGTCCAAAGACATGTGATACAGGTGAATTGGGTTGGCTAAATTGTCTGTAGTGTATGAGTGTGTGTGTGAATGTGTGTGTGGATGTTTCCCAGAGATGGGTTGCGGCCCGAAGGGCATCGCTGCGTAAAAACTTGCTGGATAAGTTGGCAGTTCATTCCGCTGTGGTGACCGCGGATTAATAAAGGGTCTAAGCTGACAAGAAAATGAATGAATGATTGAAATGGGCCTAAGTCTCCTTTAAAAGTCTCCTTTAAGGCTTTGTTTAGATGTCTATCTTTAATTAAACACAAGACAAGATATTCTGAAGAATGTGTTAAACAGCATTCATTGTCATTTATAGTATGAACAAAAATACAGTGTAAATTAATGGCAGCTGCTTTCCAACATTCTTCAAAATATCTTCATATGTATACTCAACAGAAGAAACTCAAAAACATTTGGAACAAGTAAAGAGCGAGTAAATGATGACAAACGTTTAATTTTGGTGTGAACTATCCCTCTAAACCCAGTCTAAGCAGTTTTCTAGATCTGGTTTACCACAGATCAGCTAAAACAAGTACTGTAAAACCAGCAATAAACTAGTTTAAGCACAATTAACCCATGTATGCCTATTTTTAAAATGATTTTATGCATGCATTATTAATAGTGCCCTATTTGAACATGTTTTGCTTTTTTTTTTTTTTGAGAATCATTTATAAATTTATTTAAAATGGGCTTAAATCTTCTTTAAAAGTCTCCTTTAAGACTTCATTTGGATGTCTTTCTTGAATTAATACAGGACAAGATATTCTGAAGAATGCTGTCAACCAGCATTCGTTGTCATCCTTGGTAGGAACAAAAATACAGTGTAAGTTAATGGTTGCTGCTTCCAACATTCTTCAAAGTATCTTCTTATGTATACTCAACACAAGAAAGAAACTCAAAAACATTTAGATCAAGTAAAGAGCGAGTAAATGATGACAAAAGTTTATTTTGGTGTGAACTATCCCCTTAAACCCTGTCTAAGCCATTTTCAAGATCTGGTTTATCACAGATCAGCACTGTCACACCAGCAACAAACTAGTTAAGCACGATTAACCCATTTGTGCCTATCTTTTAATGATTTCATCCATGTATTGTTAATAGTGTCCTATATGAACACGTTTTGCATTCAGCTTTTCTTGAGAATCATATTTAAACGTGCTTGAAATGGGCTTACACCAAATAAAACGTCCCATAAACGCATACCTTTAATGTCACCGGGGTAATTTTCTCTTTATTCACTCCCTCAGGCAGGAAATCCAAGAGGGAATCCAGAACGATGTCTTTGACAGTCTGAAACTCCACTTCTCCTTTCAGATCAGCGCAAAATATGAGATCCAGGTCCTTGTAGCCCAAACCGCTGTCCTCATGGAGAACGTGACTGGCCGCGGAGCCGTTCAGCCGGACCTCCCGGACGTGGATCTTGCGCTCCTCCATGCGACACCGCACCACTTTAACGATGTCCCTGGGTTTCATCTCCAGGGTAGGGAAGTTCCACTTGCCGTGAATGGGGATGGACTCGGTAAGGATGGCATCCAGACGCTTCACCTGCTCCCAGTTCAGCACGCACAGGTTATTTAGAGTCTCCTCCATTGTGTTTGCAAATGTGTTTGGAGTGTGAATATAATATTAGAATATGTTATACCACTGTTTCCATGTCATGCGAGGTTGCTGTGAAAATAATGCAGCTATAGAAATGAGTGCATTCGTGTTGCATCCAGCTGCGTTCACCCCTGCGCGTAAAAGCTCCCCAGATGTCCTGTTTGCGCCTTTGCTCGCAGCGCCGAACTCCGGTGGGTTCTCACGGCTCTCCAGGGGCCGTGAGAATCAGAGTGATTGATGCATGATTGCGATCACAAAATATATAGAAAGTCAATATTAATCAGTAGGAGACCCCCCCTTTCCTCAACTGAAGCGGACGCTTTGAGTTTTTACATGTTGCTTCATTCTGTAAACAAAAAAAATATATATATTTAAATAAGTCAGCATGCAACTGTTCAAATCTGAAATACTATTGAAAAACATTAAATTAATATGCGCAAAAGTCTATGATATAACGCATATACCTACCTGTGTGTATGTGATCACATTGTCAGCTGTTGCTCTGTGCAAACTGCTGGCTGCTCATGTCTTCTCGATTGCACCCAGTGAGGATGCATAGAGATTAACCCGTACACTAAAGCAGGAGTGACGGTGAGTTTGAGTGACAGCTGCGCGCACCAATCCTGACGCGCCCTGCGATACTGTAATATAGACATTTACGCGCTTCATATTTACGTCCTGTCGAAGCTATTTAATAGATGCGTATTCATGTATTTTAAGAGAATATCTTGATAATCATCACATTTATACAAAAATGTAATATTTTTACGTTTATTTGATCTTTGTAGCTTGTTTTGAAGAGTGACGGTGAGTTTGAGTGACAGCTGCGCGCACCAATCGTGACACGCCCTCCTCTAGGGTATGACTATAGGCATTTGCGCGCATCATATTTACGTCCTCTCAAAGCTATTTATTATAGATATCGAAGTAAATTCTAAAAGAATATCTTCATAATCGTCATATTTAAGCAAAAATAACATATTTTTTATGTTTATTTGATGCTTTTAGCTTGTTTTGTAGCACCAAAAAAGTGAAATGCAGGTGTAGAAAACAGTTGCATGATTTCTGAAGGGATTTGTGTGATTATTCTATGTGATTAAAACAAATTAATCGATCAAAACTAATTAAAAAGCCTTCATTTCTGTCTTCATAGAAAGAAATGAATGTCAATGCTGCCCTCTAGAGAAAATCATCAGGGAAATTTGAGTTTGCACCTTTATACAGGGAAAATTCACTGAAGCACATTTAAACAAAAGAAGGTTAATTTAATATATAAATAATAAAACATATTCATTTAAAAGCGTGCAACTTTGGCAAAATAAAAAAATTCTAATGCAAGAATGTCTACCAAAAATCTGGCAAGCCTTCATCCTCGAATGGAAATTTTTTTATGTCTTTATTCGATTCTCAAAGTGCTGCAGGTTTTATTTTAGGCTTGGGGTTAGGCCGTAGTAATTGTAATTAGCTTAATTTAAGGGCAGATGAAGACTAGGGGAAGTACCTGTTTAGCTGGCTGTGTGCTTTGGAGGGAGGGAGAGAGAGAGCTGGAGACTAGCTGGTAAGTGTGTGTGTATAAATGACTGAGCGTAATGTCAGGTCAGGCTAGATGTCACCCAGAATTTATCAGGGGGAGCAGACCTGCGTCACAGCGCTAACAGCCAATAAAGCAGGATTATTCTAGATTACCCCTTACACCATGACTCTTGGACGCACAACTGAGTGTGTGTGTGTTTAAGACAGGAAGAGAAAACCAAACTTGTGTTTAAGGCTTGTATCTGAAGAGTATGAAATTACACTAACCACATGAGGCATGAAACCTAAATGATCAGTTTATATCTTTTTCCTCCTGCCTGTATATAAATCAGAAGAACTTGTCAATTTAATTTCAGCTTTAAATCAAATGTATATTTTGTGTGAATAAAATAAAGACCTTTGTGATATTTATCACATGCAAACGATTTTCATTTTTATAAGTTCTATTCATTTTCTTTTTGGCTTAGTTTCTTTATTAATCAGGGGTCACCACAGCGGAATGAACCACCAACTTATCCAGCATATGTTTTACATCGCGGATGCCCTTCCATCTCCAACCAGTTATTGGGAAACACCCATACACTCTAATTCACACACATACACTACAGACAATTTCGCTTACCCTATTCACCTATAGCGCATGCTAACACCAGGCTAGATTTGGGCTGTATAATAAACGTCTAAGAATGCGCCAAAACTAGACTAGTCATCAAATAAACAGAAATGAATGACCACACATATAAAATTTGTCTATTTGACGACTAGTCTAGTTAGGGTCTATTCTTAGATAAGCAAATCGTACGGTACTAAATTGTAGGAATCAGATCATACGAATTTATACGAATTAGCTACTAAATCAAAAAGTTACGAATTGTGGTGAGATTGTGTTGAAGTAGTGACAATTAGTCCGTCATTGGCATAGGATGTTAGTATTGTTTTTAAATCTGCCATTATGCTGACACACAGGCCTTTGTAGCTCCGCCCTCTTTTAAAAAGAGCACAATCTCATTTGAATTTAAAGTGACAGTAATCAAAGTAGCCAGCCTGATCTCATGAGTCTCACGAGTCAATGTCTTTGGACTGTGGGGGAAACCCATGCCAACATTGGGAGAACATGCAAATTCCACACAGAAATGCCAACTGATGCAGCTGAGGCTCGAACCAGCAATCTTCTTACTGTGAGGCGACAGTGCTACCCACTGCGCCACCGTGCCGCCATATGTTATTTTTTTGTGTAATAGAATATTTATGGGAAGCAGTTCCATGCACTACAAACATAATAACAATAATAGAAATAAATAAATGCAATGCTAAAAGCCGTTATTGTCTTTAAAATCTTTAAAATCTCAAATCTCATTTCTTGTTTTTTGTTTAAAAAAATATTGTAAAATATTCCTGAAAGAAAATAAAGACTGGTAAATAATTTGACAATATTTAATAATAAAAAATACAAATAACTTAGATTACAAGTATAATAATAATAATAATATCAATAATGGCATTAATGGAGTTTGCATGTTCTCTTCGAGTTGGCATGGGTTTCCTTCGGGTAATCCGGTTTCCCTCACAGTCCAAATACATGCGCTATAGGTGAATTGGGTAGGCTAAATTGTCCGTAATGTATGTGTGTGAATTAGAGAGTATAGGTGTTTCCTAGTGATGGGTTGCAGCTGGAAGGGCATCAGCTGTGTTAAACATTTGCTGGATAAGTTAATCTACACTTTTCTAAAGGGACTAAGCCGAAAAGAAAATGAATGAATGAATAATAATAATAATTTTAATTTTACAATTGAATAATAAAATATAATTGAATTTCATTAAATCCAATACATAAAATATTATTGTTTCAGCAATAGTTCTTAAAATATGCTTTGTTGTTTTTATTCAAGCTATATATACAGTTGAAGTCAATTATTAGCCCCCCCCCTAAATTATTAGACCGCTTGTATATTTTTTCCCCAATTTCTGTTCAACAGAGAGCAGATTTTTTTAAACTCATTTCTAAACAATAGTTTTAACAACTTATCTCTAATAACTGATTTATTTTATTTTTGCCATGATGACAGTAAATAATATTTGACTAGATATTTTTCAGGACACTTAAAGTTAACTAGGCTGGTTAGGGAAATTAGCAGGGCCAGACCGAATCTGCGGACGTTTTTTGCTATTTCTGCAGAGAATTTTGGTAGAAATCCGCGGTTTTCTGCGGAATTAATTTGGGAGTTTAATAACTTAAACCATAAGATGTGAAATAAAAAGTAATACATTTTTAACTTCTATTTAATGTTTAATATGGTACTTCACAAACTGCATTGTACTATCTAGTATCTGATGAACATTTTCATATTAGTGAATAATATTACTGTGATTCATTTAAAAACTGAATAAATATACATATAAAAGAATAAATGATGGGCTAAAAATCTGCAGAAATCTGCGGAATTCTGCGCACACAGATTCCTTTTGGGCCTAGTAATTAGATTGAGAAAAAAATAGCTTAAAAGGGCTAATATTTTTTCCCTAAAATGGTGTCTAAAAAAAATGTAAAACTGATTTTAATCTAGCTGAAATAAAACAAATAAGACTTTCTCCAGAAGAAAAAATATTATGAGATGACTGTGAAAATTTCCTTGCTCTGTTAAACATCATTTGCAAAATATTTTGTAAAATTCGAAGGGGGCTAATAATTCTGACTTAAACTGTATGTATATATATATGTGTGTGTGTGTGTGTGTGTGTGTGTGTGTGTGTGTGTGTGTGTGTGTGTGTGTGTGTGTGTGTGTATATGTATGTATGTATGTGTGTATATATATATATATATATATATATATATATATATTTTTTTTTTTTTTTATAAAATCAAGGAAAATCAAGAAATTGTAATATCTATTTATGCATTTTGACATTATTTTGTTTGAGTTAAAAGCATTGCCCGAGAATCAAGTGTTTAAAATATGCCTTTTTAATTTATGCATTCTTAAATTAAAAGAAACAAGGTATTTTTCATCAAAGTCATTAAAATGGTCCTTAAATTTTAGCTTCCCTTATATATCCTTATTCATTCATTCATTCATTCATTCATTCATTTTTCCTTTGGCTTACTATATCAGGGGTCACCACAGCGGAATGAACCGCCAACTTATTCAGCATATGTTTTACACACTGGGTACCCTTCCAGTTGCAACCCAGCACTGGGAAACACCTATCCACACTCATTCACATAGTTTATTCAATTCAGCTATACCGCAAGTCTTTGGACTGTGGGCGAAACCAAAACACCCAGAGGAAACTCACGCTAACATGGGGTGAACATGCAAACTCCACACAGAAATGCCAACTGACCCAGCTGGGACTAGAACCAGCCACCTTCTTGCTGTGAGGCGACTGTGCTATAATATAATATAATATAATATAATATAATATAATATAATATAATATAATATAATATAATATAATATAATAGGCTGGGTCAGTTGGCGTTTCTGTGTGGAGTTTGCATGTTCTCCCTGCATTCGCGTGAATTTCCTCCGGGTGCTCCGGTTTCCCTCACAGTCCAAAGACATGCGGTACAGGTGAATTGGGTAGGCTAAATTGTCCGTAGTGTATGTGTGTGAATAAGTGTGTGTGGATGTTTCCCAGAGATGGGTTGCGGCTGGAAGAGCATCCGCTGTGTAAAAACATTCTGGATAAGTTGACGGTTCATTCCGCTGTAGCGACCCCAGATTAATAAAGGAACTAAGCCGAAAAGAAAATGAATGAATGAATAATATAATATAATGGCAGTGCGGGGGCGCAGTGGGTAACGCAATCACCTTACAGCAAGAAGGTTGTTGGTTCAATTTAATTCAATTCAGCTTTATTTGTATAGCGCTTTTACAATGTAGATTGTGTCAAAGGAGCTTCACATAAATGGTCATAGTAACTGGAACAGTGTGGTTCAGTAACTGGAACAGTGTGGTTCAGGTTTTAGTGTTTAAGTTCAGTTCAGTTCAGTTTAGCTCAGTTCAGTGTGAT